ATTAAAATCTTGATAGAAATTCAAATATGTGTAGTATTTGGGTAGGAGGAAACGAATACTGGAATTTTCTACCGTTTTTGCAATTCTTTGACCAATAGAACAACGTGCACCTGTCTGTACAATCGCGCGCACCATAAGTTACGTTAATGCAGAGAAAGGGGCGAAAAGCAATTTCCGGGAGTATTATTCACCATCTGATATTTCATATAAGGAAGAAAAGTTGTTTATTTAGTTTCGGCTTTGGTACGGGGAAAAAATACGCATTCATTAAAAAAAAGGATTAAAAAAAAGCACTAAAAGCAAAAAATAAGAATTAAAACAAAAAAATAAGGGCTTTAAAGAAAAAGTAAGCACCTTTATATTTTATTTTCAAATATAAGGACTTATAAGCACTTGTAAGGACCCCTACGAACCCTGGTACCGTTTCCGATAGTGAAGAAAGTGAAAGAGAGGTTATTGAAAATGAAAAAATTTCAATCGACAGGTTAGTCGGTATTCTCGACACACCAATTACAGGACTTGAACAGTGGAACTGAACAAGAAATTATGTTCGTTTATAGAATTAAAGAGAAAGTATTAGCACAAAAACGAAGCAAGTTATAAACAACTTACATTGAAAGAAATGTTTAATAAATTATAAAAAAAAAAAAAATCTGAAATGTTTCAGATTTTAAATTACGTCCAAAGGTGCGTGTTTTCAACATTTTGTGTTTGCACTTAAATCATAAAAATTATTTCAATAGCAATGTCGCAAAATAATTTTAAAATAAGCATATCTTTAGAATTTCCAATACACTGTTCGACACGCTAGACATAAAAAGTTTTTTTCCCCCCGTAGAGTGTTGCCATTGCTCGCTTTTAAATCGTTGAATTTGTTACTGAAAAATTCGTTGAAGTTTTACAAAAAGAAAATCGATAATAAAACAAATTCCTAATTTCAAATTTGGGATTTCAGATGCCCATATTCTCAGTAGGATTACGTCGTTCAAAATTATATGGCTCTAGATACCGTTGTTTTATCACAATGCGAGAAATATACATACATTTATGCAGGTTTCATTATTTAATTTCTTCAAATATAATGCAGGACTCTAACATTTTGTGGCAACAGTTTGAAAAGTGAACCGACATTTATTGGAGTCCGACGCAAAATGCCAAAACGAAAGTAATAGTCCTTCGGGACTCAAATCCCTTTGGACTAATAAAGTAAACAAATAAATATTAAGCTTTTTTTTACGGTTTCATATTATTAATTTTATAATTTCTGCATGCAATCTTACCAGATTTAAATTAGTGATCTATAATCCGGAAAAACCCCTAGTCCAGAATCGCCGAAGTCCCGACGAGTCCGGATTAAAGACTTTGTACTGTACAAAATTTCAACGTTCTGAGGCTACTCGTTTTTGAGTTACGTGAGATACACGTTGAAATATGCTGCCTGAAACTTTTCGAGATTACAATACTTCCTTTTTACTTCGTACAAGGAAGTAAAAAGAAAAATAATTCATTGAAAAATGTGGAAGAATTCTTATTCATTTAATTTATGTGTTACCCAATGAATTTTGTTCTCCCAAACATGTTGTCACAATACGAAAATGATTATTACAATTTAAAATTTAATAAATGATTTTATTTTTGTTTGTATACTTAAATAGTAATTTTCAGGACTTCAAATTTATGAAATATACAAGCTGGTGTACCCCACTTTGCTCAGGGAGTTAATATGAGTCTGTGTGGTAGTTGGAATAAAAGGATACACTTTAAAATATAAGAGGTAAAATTTGTAATTGGAAACATATTCTATTTACAGTACTTGTTTATAAACAGCATTTTTCATTTTGTTATCCAAGGTATATATGTACAAACTTTTTGAATTTCCTACTCAAGAGCAAGCTACGTATAGCTGACCGTGAGAAAAGCAGGCATCTTTGAGGTTGATGCCAAAATGTTTTAAAGTTTTCCCTTGTGCTTTAATTGTAAAAACTATAGGCTAATTTTATTTACAATTGCAGTCTTTTAAATTGGAATGGTAGTTCAGATGTTAGTGGTATTTTGGGAATAAATACTGTGAGTCTTTTTCAGCCATAAGTTCGGCTTCGATGATGTTTGACGACCGGCTTCGATGACTTCAATAGCTGTTTGACGACCACCCTTGTTCTATTACACAGTTTTGGTGAACCGAGATTTGAGTAGTATCATCGAAGATCCAATTTTCAGTCAAAGGCAGTGCAATGGCTTTCCTGGTACTTGCAAAGAGTTTAAAAATTCTGTAAAGAAGTTAACACTTTCTTCAACATTTACCATTCGTCATTTGACTTTTATATTCTCTCTTCACCGGGAATTTTCTTTTGAATATTACAGTTGATATCCTCAACAATATTATTTTTAGTTGCCAAAATTGCCCTTTGAAATAACATTTCTAGATTTGTATAGTTATGAACAATGTTTGGATAAATTTGATTGATCAGTTCGTTTTCAGTAGTGGCTATGTTATAGAAATCACTGTTGAGTTCCGCATTTCTCATAGGGTGACACTTTGTTTTTGATTTATATTCAGTCACTATATCACGCTGATTACTCACAATTCACTGTTTGTTTTTATTTACTCACTGCACTTCACTGATAAGAAATTGATGTTCAAACCCATGACAGATCTTGCTTTAGAGACCTCTACCAATGGGTAGCCCCACCCATACAAAAAAGGCTTCCAATGGTCCACAATATCCCAGAAGATTCCAAAACATTCGAGTGTTCTGGAATGTTCCACAATGATCTGGGATGTTCCAGAACATTTCAGACTATTCGTGAACATTCCACAACACTCCGGAATGTTGTGGAATGCTCTTTAATGTTCTGGACTGTTCTAGAAATTTCTAGAGGGCAAAACTTCCAATCCTTGTATCTTCAAAAGCATGCCCTCCAGGTAAACACGGGAACCTTCTTCATGGATGGGGCATCTCCAAAAGCATGCCCTCCAGGTAAAAACGGGAACCTTCTTCATGGATGGGGCATAGAGGGCTATGACACCATATAACTCCCTTGATCATATCGGGACTCGTTTCTGAGTTTTAGAGGCATGCACATTGTACATTTACTTCTGTAATATATATTGATTGATTATTGCATGCAACAACAGAAAAGAGTTCCATTTTGTTGTACTATATTGCAGTGCTCCGCAACCTTTTCTCACCTGCGACGCACAAAAAAATCTTTCTGGAATTTCGTGGCACACCAAAGAGTTTCGAGTTATCAAGGAAGTGCCGAAAAAATTCAAATGCTGACACACTTACAATTACACACACAATTACACAACAGTAAAATATATAAAAACATTTAAAATAGACATTATTAAGGAAAAAAAATTGTCATTGTGTATTAAATACATGATAAAAAATTGCAAAATGTCAAATACATGTATTTAATTGCGGCACACCTATATCCTATTCATGGCACACCAGTGTGCCGCGGCACACCGGTTGCGGAGCACTGCTATATTGCACTAAGTTATTGATGATGTATCAATTTCTTAATAATTAACTCATCCCCCCCCTTTCAGAACAAATATGTTGATTTTCTATTTTTTTTTTTTATTATGAAATGAAATTCAGTTTCAATACCCATTCAAACTCACAGATGTGAAAGCAGATCCTATAACAAATATAAAAGCACATATATATACACACATACATAGTACCAAAGAAGGTTATTGCAGGCATACAAGTGAGGCTAAATATGCATATAATGAAAATATTTAATTTGTAAATAATAGTATATTCATATTATACGTGAATTATACATAAATACAAAAATACTTTTAAAACCTTATTTTCTTCTTACTTATTTATTATTCATGTGCTATTTCCCATTAAACTCTTAAGTAATAAAAAAGAATGTGTCTTTTCTGAAATTTTTCGTTAACTAATTAATATAGTTGAGATTAAAGTTTAGGGGAATAAATACAAATTCCCTCTTCCTCTGAATCTATCCATTTAAAATTACAAAATAGGTTACTGCATGCAATAGCAAAAAATGTTCATTTTTTTACTCTGCTTTTAGGAGATAGATTCACTTCTGTGATTTTATTTTTTTATTTTTTTTTTTATTTTTTTATTTATTTATTTATTTTTTTTTTTTTTAAATTTGATTTCATTGCTTATGAAATAATCATTATTTCACTATTTTTCTTATTGATATGCATTGAAATTCAGTTTCACAATCTATTAAAAAATTCAGAGGTGAAAATAAATCTCACTGAAGTACACAAAAATCTTTATATAAATGTAACTAAAAGCAGGTTATTGCAGGCATATAAATGAGAATAGCTAAATTATACAGAAAAGTAATACATTTTTTAAATAAGTGCTAAACATGAATAAAATATAGATATAATAACAAAAAGAAGAAAGAAGCTTAAGAATTAATTTGCCTTATTTCTTCCACTGCAAATTTAAAACAAATTCATGTTTTCATCATCATCCAAATACTTAAAAAATGTGGCTCTGTTGAAAATTATTCAGCTGCTCCTTGAAAAAGATCAATTTTCAACATACTATATCATTTTTGTTTCAATTACTGTTATCCACCTTGCCACCACTTTTGAGTTAATTAATATCTCTTGATTAATTTCATGTGACTTAAATAATTAACAATTTTAATTTAGAAATTTCTAAATTCTTGTTTATATACATATATATATATATATATATACATATTCATAATCAAAGACAAAATTTCATGGCTATATTTTCATTTCTCATATCTATCAAGAAATTATATTTCACTCCTCATTAACAAAAATAAAATTATATGTTTGAAAAAAAAAATTCAGGTTCAAATAAAATGCAACAGTCCTTTTAAAATTAGAAACAACATACAGATTCTAAATATAACATACAGATTCTAAATATAATACAAAACAATTGAAATCCATTTTAAAAATCTGAAGCAAGAAATTCTTTCCATACTTAATGATAAATACAGTACAAAAGTGATAAACTTACCTTCTTACAACATGATAATTTACAGATTTCACTTTCCTTCCAAAACGTGTTGTAGAATTTATCTTTTTTTGAGAAGTTTTTATATCACACAAAGAATATCTGGATCTCTTTTGAAGTGAAGTACTCTTCAAGGTGTTAGTAATAGATTTTCTTCGAGAACAACTCATCGAAGGTTTTGATAATTTTTCAGAAGCATTTGGAAATAGATTTCTTTTTGCTTTTCTTTTTTTAGATCTAATATTGTACTTTTTATAAGGATTAGGACTATCAGATTCTTCTAAAACATCATCACAGCCATAGACAGAAACATTTGACTTCAGATTCTGATCACCACAGTTGGAAGTATCTCTAAGAGAATGTATAATAGGCTTTCCATTTGATGGATTTTCTTCTGATACACTAGTTTCAGCATTTAGTGAGAGATTCTTCTGAAATTTAGCATTTAATTTTTTCATAGGTTCTGCATGAGTCTGAGCAATAAATATTCTAACATTGCCATTCTGGCTTTCCAGAATTCTATCATCCATTTTTTTAATGAGTACCTTTGGTAAAAATGAATCCCCAATAGTTGTAGCACTGTAAAAGGCTTCCTTTCCTATAGAAGAATAGAAAATTAATACAAAAACTCTTGTAAATGTGCAAAATATTCAAAATCATCACATATTCATAAAAGATGAAATGATTTATCATCATGTACATGAAAATTAGCATAGTACAGTCCTGATCACCAAAAAGTTTCTTTTCCTTCTCATAAAAGCCTTCTAAATACTTAAGTGCTGTCCTATAATAAATTATCTAATCTAATCACTTTTTTAGGGAGTATAAATTTTTACTTCTTGGAGAAAAGAGATCTTTGTCAAAATCTATTGAAATGTGCCAAATTTTTTACTCAATCAAATGATTATATATGTTTGAGTTTTGCTTAACTTTACAACTCAAATTTTGTTTGCTGCTTATAGAAATCTGCTAATAGTAAAAAGTCTCAATGCATTTCGACAGATTAAAAACAGCTGTATCTTGTTTTCAGCAATACATAGCTCTCTCTACATCAGTTGATAAGTGTCAACCCATTTCAAAAGATAAAAACAATATCTTACATCTCTTCAGAAGCTCATAATCATGCCCATAATTAATTATTTGGTCCTAAAATTTAAAATCCCAATTTTTGTCTTTTAAAATATTCATCTAAAATTAAACAAAATTTTAATTTTGCCAATTATTCATATATATAAGTTGGCATGCAGTTCTTGCACCTATTTTTTCAGCTATCCATAGTATTTTCATCAAAGCTCATTCTTTACTTCTGAGAGAAGAAATTCTCAAAATGCATTCAAGTGATATCTGCATCAAAGCAAATATTTCAAGACAGAATTTAAACTGGAAAGATCACAGTTCACCATATTCATAGAATTCCATACTATAAATATATCAGGAGACCACGAAAGATACATACTAACTAAGAAAAATTATTAAGACATAATGCATCAATCACCAGATCTCCAAAACATAAATTTCAATTTAATTTACATCTAAATACTCTTAAGTAATAAAACCAAAAATACAATAAGTTTATATACACCATATTTATAAAAGAAAGGTTTCTATAACCCAGATTTAGTCTAACTCTATTCCAAAAAATTTAATCCCAGTTTAGTCTTTTTGTTGTTACAAGTCTGTATTGCCAAATTCATATATTCGATGAAACCACAGATTTTGAAGGAATTTACCATAGAATGACTTCTATGGGAAGGAATTTACCATGGGATATAAATACTCAAATTCAAGGTTCATTATTCTATAACAATTTCATTAAATTTAAATTTTAGATAGCACAGGTCAGTCTATCCTTACAAAATTTTCAACAATTATTTTCAAGGCAATGCAATATATACAGGGTTCGTACACATTTCTTTACATGAGAATTAAGGACTTTTAAGGACCATCAAAGAAAAAATTAAGGACCTATCAGCAAACCAAAAAAAAAAAAAAAAAAAAAAAAAAAAAAACGAATAGAATAAAGCAATTATCCATTTATGAAACTAACAGAAGTGTGTATTATGCACTACTTTCAATTTAATACTTAACATAAAACAATTTTAAAAACTAAACTAACTCTCTACAAGTTATGAAGTAGATAACATTAAATTAAGAACATAATTTCTTAAAAAACATCACTAATAACAGCCACAGATATTTTAGAGATTTACATGATTATTATTTAACTTATTTGATATTTATTCAAACACATTTAAACATTTATTTAAACACATTTAAACACAAATTTTGCCCAAAACTGTTAATCTCGTAAACATAACTGTATTACAAAACAAAGGCTGGCTTCACAAACTTTGATAAAATGTCTTTAAATCAATCACTGATCATTGATTGTAAAACAACAATTAACGGAATTCTGCACTGTAAAATTGCCCTAAGAACATCGAAAGATGGCAATAGTAGCCTACCAAAAAAAAGAAAAAAAAGGGGGGGGAAGCTTTGTTAAGGTCCAAAGACAAAAAAATATCCGTTCTTTACAAGATATACTTACAGTAATCAGAAAATATTTCCCTTGTTGGGGAAACTTTGCTATTCTGAGAGACTCTATATCAACTTTACATTCATATTTTGTATATTATTTTTAGAATTGCCAGTTAAATTTGCTCACAGGTGAAGAAATTATTTTTCTGACACCAATTTTTATCAGTGGAAGTAGTAACTACATCTAATTTACTTTAGGTATTTTATAACTTTCAACACAGCCTTTAGCCTTTGCTCTAGAAGCATTTACTTCTTCCTTTAAAATTGTAATTGGGTTCCATTGCTTGAAGATTCTAGATACACATTTCTCTAAAGGTAACCAGTGTGTACATGTCTTATTTCAGTATTATGCAGCTGTTAGAATTCTTTCAATTTGACCTTCCTTTTAGAACTACTTTCAAGATAATAATAATAAATATCAACAATATGCGCATCCATACTTATTGGTAAAGGTTCCCCTTTTCGAGCTGCTAAATTTAACAGGTGACAGGGCTCACCTCATAATTTGCAAATATGAATGTTCTTTTTTTAAGATGCCTGCAAAACCAGACCTACCATTACTGGTGCATTGTCGGCACCAAGTACTAAGCAATTACCTAGAGGAATTGCATTTTCTTTGCAGAAAACGTTTTGAGAATTAGTTGTGCTATATTAAAGCTAGTTGAATCTCCTATTAAAAGGGGATAGAAAGTAAACTACACTCAATTTCTGAAGATTGGATTAATAAACAAACAAAAATGGATATAGTTTTGCATTGGTATTAATGCTTGCATCCATACAGATTCAAAAACATTTTCGGGCAGGAATGCAAAGTCCATAATGTGGCGCCATCTGTTGAAGCCCAAACACACTAGAGAGTAAAGTAGATAGAAAAAGTAGATTCTATCTACTTTACTCTCTAGTAGATTCTAGAATTTGTCTTGCAGAGAAACAGCAGAATTACCAGTCCATTTGGGTCAGCTGTTCCCATTCCAAGAGCAAGTAGTACTTTTTCTTGGAGGGACTCGATCTTCTTACATTTTTCTACAAATTCAATAAATTTGGAGACAAGTAGCTGGAAATTTTTGTCCATCTTGAAATCTGGATTAGCTTGTTTCAGAGCATCATAATAGGATTTCGAGGGCAAACTATAAATATTCTTCACAGGCATCTGACATCAGGGGGGGGGATTATCAGATTGAAGCTTCCATGCAGAGGTTGATTTCTTAGTAGCAGGTTCATCATGAATTTTAGGCCGAAATTCGCACAGTTTTGAAGAAGCAATATGACCAACTTGCAATGTACACAGGTTGGTTTTTCTTCCTTGAGTAACTTACAAGTGTAGATTAAATGATTTTGCCCACACTTGAGACATCTGGGTGTGTTGTTGCAGAATAACTGCCTATGTCCATAGCACTGGCATCTAAAACACATCATAGTGTTTCAATTGCTTCTGTATTTGCAAAATTTAACCCGGATATTGAGTAGTGTGTTCTTTCTGTAAATGCTCCTGCCTTCATCATTCCTCTTAACAGAAGTGAAGAAAACTGGGAGTTTAATTGCACAGTTATCGACTTTCCTCAGGGTTGCCACTCAAACAGGAGAATGAAATTCCCTGACTTTTCCAGGTTTTCCAGGTGTGTTTCAAGAAAATTCCAGTCTATCCGCGTAATGTACATTGGCTGTGCTAAGAGGTAAATTAATTATGGTATTACTTGTATTGTGTAGCAATTCACTTAATTATTCAATAAATCCCAGAGGACATTTATTCTTAATTATTCTTGGTATACTTTGATAATTTTGTTTAGTTTTCCACTTAAGAAACTTAATAAAATTTAAGATATATATATTGGATAACAAATGTATGTTTTATTTAATTATTACTCATGATCATCACCAGTTCAACACGAGGCTAATCCGGTCCTGATAAATCACAACGCAATGCTAAATAGTTAGGTTAGATTTTAGGTAAATTTAATTTGCGTGAGGTATGTTCTTAAAGGCACCTTAACACTTGAAAACACAAATATAATTATAATAGTTGTTTTCTCCACTGAAGATTGAGATTAGAATCTTTCCAATCTGGAATAAAATAAGGCTTTTTTTGCAGACATTCTGCAGCTAAACGAAAGAAAGAAATCTATTTTAATAAATTGAGGTATTTTATATTTATTTCGCAGCATACATAAGGAAAAAATATGTGCATTAAATTTCGTGATGGTATGTCATCATACTGCTATAATTAATTTCAGAATTATGCCAGAGAAAATTTCCTGAAATTTGGAAATATTATTTACTAATAATAAATAAATTTAGAGGGAAGAAGCAACATTAAATTATATGAATAACATAAAAACAATTACTTAAAAATTGAATTAGAATAATCAATGATATTTTAGCGAATATAGTTATATTACATGGCTAGCCTAGATGACTGATTACTATTTTTTTATTTTACTACAAAAATGGCAAGGTATTTATTAAAAAAAAAAAAAAAGTTTTTTTAAAAAGATTTTGCGGTAAAATTCTAGTATACGGTAAGGCTTTGTGGCACGATTTTGAAAATTGTCGCCAAGACCAAAATGACCCGTTTACTGCGCATCAAGATGTCGCCAAATCCCATTATTATTCTAACCAAAGAACGTCTATGTAAAGAAGAAAAGGTTCCAAACAAGTAAAATGCTATTACGCCGCTAGAATGCGGAGGGAAAATTTGCCAAGGGATTTGGCGACGGAACCTGGCGGCCAGAATTTCCCTCTCCGCGATGTGTACAGGAAATTGAGAAACACGTGTTAAGAAGAAACGCTCTTTGACAAAAGAAAACTACGAAATCCGTTTTTAAATTATTGCGAAAAATCCAAGAAGAAACGTTTTATCAAAGGACGTTTCTTCTTGGATTTTTCGCAATAATTTTAAAAACGGATTTTCGTAGTTTTTTTTTTTTTTTTTTTTTTTTTCCCCCTGAAAATAACTAATCCATGAATTAATTTACTTGCGCCAAAAAATATTTTCTTTTCCTTTAGAGATTAACCACTTGCGCTAAGCCTAAACTTCACGGTTGCGGTGCCGTGCGCTACAAT